CTGCTCCCTCTTTGGGCTCAGATCCTCTTCCCCCACCTCACTCTCTGACTACACTGGCTTCTGCAGGGTTCACGGAACATACTAGGCCTCTTACCGTACCCACCCTGTTTCATCTACGAGGAGTGTCCTTCACCCCAGTACTCTCCTTCTTCAAGTCATCATTTTCTCTGACCTCCCTGCTTAAAATTGCAGCCTCTCCCCACTTTCTACTCCTTCTGTTATGTAATTTATGTATTTTCTCTCCCTTCCACTAGAATATACGCTTCATAAGGGCAGGAATTATCTCTTATTGATGTGTCTCCAGGGCATAGAACTGTGTGGCACATGGTGGGCACTCATCAACTGTTAGTGTAATGAATAATGAATTTAAGCAAATTCTGATGATAATTAAACATAAAATAACATTTCACCTGCAGTGTATCTCTGAAAATGATGATGGGGTTACTATTAGCATTTTCCCTGATTAAATTGATGCATTGGTAAATGAACATTATTTTATGCTAGAAACAAAGGTCCAATACCAGATTTCTTCCATTATTTTGTCTTTATAGATATAAACACTCAGGACTTCTTGTTCATATAAATAAGTAGATGGGGATAGAAGTTGTCATGTTATGGCTGTGCCATTTTGTCTTTGGACTTCCAAGTTAAAGGCCAAAGATCATAAAGTTGTTGGTGTTTTTTTTGAGACAGGGTCTCACTCTGTTGCCCAGGCTAGAGTGAAGTGGTGCGGTCGTGGCTCACTGCAGCCTCAAATTTCCAGGCTCAAGCAATCCTCTCACCTCAGCTTCCCAAGTAGCTGGGACTACAGGTGCATACCACCACACCCGGCTAATTTTTCTTTTTTTTGTGGAGATGGGGTTTAGCCATGTTGCTCAGGCTGGTCTCGAACTCTTAAGCTCAAGCAAGCCACCTGCCTTCGCCTCCCAAAGTGCTGGGATTACAGGCTTGAGCCACCACGCCCGGCCAACAGCAGTGTTATTAATTTCAGCATACTAATATGTATACCAGTGTAGTGTTTTAAAAATCTTATTACATTCTTCCTATTTTCACCCAAAACTTGGAGCTCCAGATTCAGCACATTCAGTTTATCAAAACGATCTGCCATATACATTAATTGTCAAACTAGTCAGCGAAATCAGACTCTTTCCCTCAGACGAAAGTCTTACTTCATTTTCATTCTAAGAACATGCCTCTGACAGCCATCTCACTCTGAGCTCCTCTTCCTAGTTAGATGGGTGAGGCGTGGAGCCGGTGCCCTGGGTAGAGGAAGGCACCATGGCTGTTGTTTCTTGGCATCCTCTTTGCTTGGCTCTCAAAGGGGCGATGCCTGCTTTTACAGTGGTTTAGGGTTTGAAGTTACTAAATGAAGTTTTCATCATCCATGCCATCAGACTCCACAATGTGTGAACCCAAGACACTTCAGCATGAACCAGGACATACTATTTATAATACCATGCTTTGTCCTTTACAGAAATGAGTATAGGCCAGGCGTGGTGGCTCATGCCTATAATCCCAACACTCTGGGGAGGCCAAGATGGGCAGATCACTTGTGGTCAGGAGTTTGAGACCAGCCTGGGCAGCATGGTGAGACCCCATCTCTACAAAAAGTTAGCTGGGCGTGATGGTGCACACCTGTAGTCCCAGCTACTTGGTTGGTTGAGGTGGGAGGATCACCTGAGTCCTGGAGTTCGAGGCTGCAGTGAGCTGTGCACCCCAGCCTGAGCAGTGGAATGAGACACTGTCTCAGAAATAATTTTTAAAAAGGAAGAAATGGGTATAGATAGGGAAAAGCAAATGGAGACGCAGACCCTACCTTAATGCGTCGCTTTGAGGTGGCTTTACCGTTATTAGTGTGTCATGGGGACTTTTGCCCCTGGGAATGTCCACTCCTCGAGGCAGTTCATTCTAGTACAAGGAGAGATGGGAGGTAGGCGTTTTTGCAGGGAGGAAGAAGGTTGTAAAAGAGGAGGTGGAATGGAGAGCTGGCATGACTCCTTGGCCTCAAGGGTGTTGTCCACAGATTTGTTACCAGACAGAGCATATGTGGATGTTGGCCATCTAGAATCTAGAAGTGGATTCTGTCACAGTGATTTGTGCCGACATACCCCTTCAAACAGTTTGTTTTCCCAGGGCTCCCAGTAGTGTTGAAGACACTGGAGTATGGTTCCTCAAAGGTAGTGGGGAGTGGATTCTAAAGCACAAGGAAAGAGGAGGATAATTCCTCTGATTTTAACAGTGGGGCAGGGGCCAGGCTGGCTGATTGAGAGCTGAGTGCCAGGAACTTCCCTCAGTTGCATTCCATTATTGTATTTTAAAACCTAGTTGTCTGAGAAGTACAATGTTTTCAGCCCCAGCAGCCGTGGACAATAGTAACATATATTTGGCCCGTCCTGGACTTGTATACTGTGCTCTGGGCCACGGTGCACGTGTAGTTACAGACATACTCAGTGAGTCCTCTACCTGCCAGCTCTGGAAGTAAGCAGGCCTTCCCTGAACCGTCTCCACCTTGGGCCAGGCACTCCCAGAGCCAGGTGCAGAAGGTGAATCAGAACTCTTAAGCTGGGGACATCATGAAGGAAACCTTGTAAATAAGAGATGCTCTTGGGTTTCATCACAGTCCAGTCTGCTCCCAAGCTGCTTTTTAAGTTGGACTGTGGAATTTCTGGGCAAATTCAATAATAAATAAGCAACTTTTGATCAGGTCTCAAAGCTGTGCAACTTCAGAGAGGGAAAAAGAAGTACTAATGCAGAAGCAGATCGTTTTCCGGAGAGAGATTTGTTTCATGAAAGAGAAAAAAATAGAACAGTCTGTTCTCACTTCTTAATGAGTTAAGAGAAGATATAATCCTAATAATTATTAAGTAAGAACTCGACTGGAGCAGAGGGAATAAGGTAAAGTGATAATCATTTTAGACCAAATAACATATTTGAAAGTGGCAGGCAATAGAGTTGAAACTCTGTAATCCATGAAATGAAAAGCTAACTAGAGAAAAAACATAGCATGGCAGGATGGAATGGCCAGAGCACAGCCATGTCCAAGGTGTCTCGCATGGGTAGTAATCATTCCTAAGGAAAAGAAAAAGGACAGCACAGTGCAGCAGCAGCGTCCAGAAGCTGTGGTAACAGGCCACAGAGCGGACTGCGTGGTTTGTAACGTTAAGCTTGACGTTGGATTTCTGTGTCGTGCCACAGTGGTCAATATCAGAATACGTGTAAGACACCAACATCCACACATGCTTTGACGAACAAGGATATATACTCTTGAGTATTTTATACCTAAGATGCCACTTATTTGAAAAGTTCTTATATTTGGCGTTAAAAATTTCCCCAAACAAGTGTCTTTGCCAAAGACTTTATACTGCCAGTCACAAATCCAAGTGTGTTTATAAAACTTAGAAATACACATCTCAAAGAAGTGGAGGAAGGCTAGAATAATAAATGCCGTTGGGATGAGTAAGCAACCAGTTAGGAAAAAAAATACGACCTTAGTCTGTAATCAGTTGATGAATGAATGAGCTGATTACATGTAATCTATGAAACCATTAAATTACTAAAAGAAAATATAAGAGGGTATTGATATAATCTTCGTTGGGAAAAGCCTTTTTTAAGCATGACACCAAAGACAGAAACCCTAAAGAAAGATTAGCTTCTTAAAAATGGAAAACTAGTGTTCAGAAACTACAAAATCAAAATGCAAACAGCAGCCTAAGAAAAATTGCTTGTAACATATAGAAAGCAAAGGCTAATTTTCTTAAGAGATTTTTATATTAATAATTAAAAGATGAATACCTCAGTAATAAAAGGAGAGTTTCAGAACATTGATCATTCAGTTCTTAAAAGAAAAAACATAAATGACCAGTAATAATATAAATTTTAGCCTCACTGGTATTCATCAGAGAATGTAAAATAAAAGAGAACCTAGTATTTCTCTTCTATCAGATTGGCAAAGAAAAAAAATGTCAGGGTCCAGGTAATGCCAGTTTTAACTGATAGATGACATAAATGTTGATACAGTCTCAACTCTTAAGGAATGGAATTTTTTTTAATGTTGATTTGTTTGAGGCTAACAACTTGCTGTTATGCATTCATTTCATATAAAAAATTAAGAAAAGTGGTAAGATTTAATATTGCTGGTTTGTTCATGATAAATATTTTAGGAGAAGTTGAATTTTAACTTTAAAATGGTGCTAATTCTGTCAAATTTGGAAATCAAGAATAATTTAATTTCTAGTGGCTTTTCAAGCTCATTCATGCTGGAGTGCCCTCTGCTGGCACCAGCAGCCATTTACTGACCCCTGGCTGGGTACCATATGAGTACCCTGTGGGGTCTACAGGGTATGGGGGGCAGGATAAAGAGGGAGTGGGGGTACACAGCATATGGATGGCAATGTCAGTGATGCTCAGACCCTGGGCATCCTCCTTTGTGCCTATTAGCCCGCATTTCCAGAAGGTCTGCTCTGTTCTGAAGGCTGTGCCAAGCAATCACTGAGGCAGTGATTCTGTCAGGTTCACTGCTGTGTCCCCAAGGCCTAGAACCATGCCCAGCAGAGGGTGGTTGCTCAGTAAGGGTTTGTTGGTCACTGTTAGTCTTGTGTCCTCCAATTGACATTCTCTTGGGGAGACCAGCAGTAAGCAGATAAAGAATTCACTTAAGGCACGAGAGGTGTTCAGAGGGTTGTAGGTTCCAGGAAGATGGTAGGATGCAAGGAGGCAAGGCAGATGGCCCCAGAAGGATGTCCCTTCCCTTCCCTGAGGGTGTGCTTGGCCCCATGAGAAGACAGCAGGCATGTGACAGCATGGAGCCCATTTCTGTTCAGGCGGGGGCATGACTTCCACCAGTGTGTGTGCATTTGGTAATGGAACCGAGGAACTCCGCAGGCCTGTTTTTAAACTCCTGATTCTCTGTATTTGCCATATCCTAACAGAGTGTTTGCTTTTTGTTTCCTTTTTTTTTTAATTTAAAGGATTTTTTTGTTTTGTTTTGTGTTTTTTGATAGATGAGGGTTACTACCAGGGTGGAAAATTTCAGTTTGAAACTGAAGTTCCCGATGCGTACAACATGGTGGTGAGTAGCCTGCGTTGAGCCTGTTGTTTTACTTCTCGGGCGGGGCTGCCTGTGGCTGTGGCCCGCCACTGGCACAGGGCCCTAGCACTCCTCTCTGCGTGTGTCCATGTGTGACTGAGTACTCACTTCAGTATTTTTGTGATGAATGTCACTCATCAGCAGTATTTAGAGTGTTAGTAGAGAATTTGTTTATTCAACAAATACTTACGAGTACTGTGTGCCAGGCAGCCTGCCTGTGTATTTTCTATAACTCTTATCTGTTACAGTCTGGCACTGAAGAAAAAAAGCATTGTAGTTTTGTTCATGGTATGACACCAAAATTCCAGAAGTCTATAAAATGTGTATTTTAGAATTTCAGAGAACGGTGACTTGTAGTTTAAACTATAAGTAATTTATACCTATAGTTTCATGTTAATCCCTCAAAGATCCTTTTAGGCGATGATTATACCAAATACCATTACATTATGTCTTTGCTTTGGTGGAACTTGCAGACCAATTAGGAGAGATAAAGTGTAGAAAGTTGATAAAGTGATAAAAATGGTAAGTAGAGGACAGTAGAGATACTGATCAATGATAGGAAACTAGTTTTTGAGAATTCAGAGAAGGGAAAGTAATGATCACTTTGGAAGGTGGTCAGGGCTAGTTAAGCTTTTAGGGGGAAATCCAACTGGAGTCACCCTGATGTGGCCCAGAACCAGGGGAGGGTGTTGTAGGTGACATGGAAACGTGGTGAACTGTGGTGACAGGTGTGGACATGAGAACTTGCAACCTGCAGAAGGCGGATGGGCCAGGTCAACTCGAGTGAAGAATTGGAGTTGGGGAAGAATAGAGGAAAAAATGAGAAAATTCAGAAGTGTGGGTTTGGTTGGGCATTTTCGATTTGGCAGTGACAAACTACTGGAGATTCTGAATAATTCCACACCCCTGAGTTGGGGTATTAGAGGAGGTGTGGCTGCACCTCAGAGACGGGTGTGATGTGTCTAGGCCCAAACTGCCAGGAGTTGGCGTACGGGCAGTTCAGTGTGCTTGTTTTATTGGCGTGCATCGTGGATATGTTTTCCTCCTCACGTGTTCTAACTAACCCTCTTGGCCCATCCAGTAGGAAAGCACAAGCTGATGGTGCTGCCAGAGAAAAGGAAGCCTCACTCCCATCATGAGGATGTGGGCATTTGGGACACTGTGCCTGTGACTTCGCTTGTGGGAAGTGTGCTCCCACTGCCTGACGAGTGGAGTTGCTCTGACCCCAGCCACAGGGCTCCATTCAGTGGCTGCAACACTTGTTTGAGAAGCCAAACCTTCATCTATGGAAACTGACTTTTTACCAGACTACTCCATTTAGGGTTCTTTTTGAAATGTAGTTTTTGGGGATGGGGAAGAGTAGGCAGTCCAAGTAATTTTTTAATTTGTAGACAAAGATGGGAAAATACACATTTCCAGTCTTTGTCCATCCACCACCTGCTGAGACTTTCCATTCTTCCCAAACCACACTGAGAAACCTGGTGACGGAGACTGCACCGTGTCCAGTGCGAGGTGGTTTCAGAGGCTTGGTTTCAGTACAGATATTTAGAATTTGGGGACTCTTTGGTGGTTTCTGGAAACAAACAGGCATACAGTATCTAAAATTCTATATTTAGATTTGCCTCTAAATACTTATGACACACCGTTCTGGATGTCATAGCAGGGAGTTAAGTGTAAGCTGATAAACTTTCCAGATAAGTCATGAGGCATCAGAGAACCATCGTTTCAGGTATATCTGGCATCATCTAGTAGCAGAGCTCCTTGTTTTCACTATAGGAAGAAAGCAAACTAAGAGAAAATACCAGGTAAGGAATGGGCATGATTGAGAGCCTCTGTGTGCCAGGTGTCTTCACTCACTTTATTCCATTCTTCTGATAGTTCTGTGGGTTGGTTGGTTGGTTGGTTGGTTTAGTTCGTTATCTGAGACGGATCTGGAGTGCAGTGGTGTGATCTCAGCTCACTGCAACCTTCACCTCCCGGGTTCAAGCAATTCTCCTCCTCCTGGGTTCGAGCAGTTCTCCTGCCCTAGCCTCCTGTCAGTGGATGATCTTAACATTTATATCTTTATACATTAGGAAGTTAGGGTTCTGAAAGCTAAAGTTAAAAATATTAGCTTTGCCAATGGAGACAGCTGAATTGTTGAAGTCACTTCATGTCCAGGGCTGCCCAGCTTTTAAGCATGTGCCCTTCCTACCACACCAGGTGGTGAGAAAATGTTTGTCATACTGTCTTGTCCCATTTGTGACTTCAAGAAATAGAAAGGAAAATGGAATAAAGAATGACTTGAAAGCCACTGAGCCTTGAAGACTTGTTTCCCTTATTAGTTTGAGACTGGCACAGAGGTTGAGGTGGAGGGTAAGGTTTTAATTTTCCCAGTGATTTTCCTGTCCTTCTCTCAGACCTGCTATTCCTCAGCCCTGCCCCACCTTCCTCACTACCAGTCCCCATGGGAAAACATCATCCTGTGCAACCTTTCTGAAGTTTGGTGTGCTGTGTTTGACCTTTAACTCTGTAATGATGATCTTACATTTTTCTGTTTCCACTGCTGTCTCTTTTGGAAGTTTCGTATATGATGGGCTGGTCAGATTTCATCAGGAATAAAACCCCATGTTCTCAAACCCAGAAGTACCGAGAGCAGCTGGTGACTCTGCATGAACCATGTTCCTACTCTGCTTCTGTAGGGTCCTTTCCTCTCCTCTCCCCACCCTTTCCTTCCTGTCCCACCAGCTTTTTTTTTTTTTTTTTTTTTTTTATGAGGTGGAGTTTCGCTCTTGTCACCCAAGCTGGAGTGCAGTGGCATGATCCCGGCTCACTGCAACCTCCACCTCCTGGATTCAAGCGATTCTCCTGCCTCAGCCTCCCGAGTAGCTGGGATTACAGGTGCCCGCCACTACGCCCAGCTAATTTTTGTAGTTTTAGTAGAGATGGGGTTTCACCATGTTGGCTGGGTTGGTGTCGAACTCCTGACCTCAAGTGATCCACCAGCCTTGGCCTCCCATAGTGCTGGGATTATAGGCGTGAGCCACTGCACCCGGCCTCCTGTCCCTGTCTCATGTTTTCTTCCTGTCTGCCTCTCATTCAGGCAAGCGTGGGGCAACTTCCTTAGGGGCCAGCGTGTATCACTGGTGTCCCCATCAGGGACCCTCCAGAAGATCATTAGGGTGCAGTACTTGGTTGAACACAAAAGTAGTTGCATTTGCCATGTTTATAATGAATCATTGCTTACAGACTCTCCCGAGCATCTCTTTCCCACTGGGCTGTGAGCCCTGAGGGAGTGCCAGCCGTCTTGCCCATACTATTTCCAATGTGTAGCCTGTCATGCTAGGCAAAAAACACAGATTGTTCAGTGGTTGCCCCTCTCTCTGCCCCCACAAACTTAACAGTGTAGAAAAGAGATGAAATAATTCAGCCAGCATAGGAAGATGACTTAGGCACGGGCATTCAGGACAGAGTGCGAGGGCACACTCTGAAGGCGCCGCGCGGCTCAGTGAGAGCAGACACAGTGGCGGCCAGTGCGGAGCCTAGGGGTGGGCTGGCGCTTCTCAGGCGCTTCTCTGCTTCACTGCCATGACTGACTTCACACAATTTCTGTACTTCATAAGGACTTTTTTCCTAAGAGTTATCATGCCTGCAGTGAAGGTCTATTAAGACTGTGAATGTGGAAAACCTTTAATAAAGTCGATCGTCATTTCAGAATAAATTTTTAAAAGAAAAATGTCTATTTGGAATCCCCCACCCCACCCAATATCCCAGCAGCTAAAATTCAAATTTTTTGTGTGTTTTTGTCCCTTTGCCTCTGAAGTTTAACTCCCAGCCTAAAGCTTGCCTTGTAATTTGTCAATTTAGAAACTGGCCAAACGGATGTAGAGACATTGAGTGAGCTCCTACATTGTGCCAGGCTCCATGTCAGACACTGGAGGGCCAAGGATGGGAACTTGGTGGCCTTTTAAGAATTTCAGTCTCTGGGGAGACAGACGCTGACGTGATAATGAGGAGCCCGGGTGGTGATGTGGGCGACGGCTATTCCTCAGGCTGGTGGGGATGCCCAGAGGAGGAGCACATGACGTGGCCTGGGGATGCTTTGGAGGAGGAGAGAGCCTTAGCCCAGACCCTAGCTGGCCTGTGGTGTCACACAGCCCACAGGTGTGTCAGTCAGGACTGGTTGGAGGAAGCTATGTGCTGCAGCAGGAGAAAGGATTACTGCTCTTTGTTCTTGGCTCTGGTTTCCTCCTGGAAGTGAAGACACCACGTCTCCTCACATGTTTTTGGCCAAATCAGATAACATGACCATGGCCAGCCCGGAGGGACTGTCCTGCCGTGGACCCTGGAGGAGGAGAACCAGAGACACTTGTTGAATAGCAGTGATGACGACCACAAGTGACAGCTGAACTCCCACTCACCTTTGTATGAAATTATCAGACTTTGTAGGGAATTGAGACAACACGGCCATGCAAAAATAGAATAATAATCACCCATAATCTCTCCACCCAGAGATGATCACCATGACTCTCTAATGTCTGTTGCAGACAGTATAAATCCCACATACCAGTGGGGTGATGCTACACATAGTCTGGTAACTCGGGGCTTTCCCATCATAATATGATGGATGTACACATTCATGTCAGTCAATGCACGACTGCATCATCATTAGTAAGAGTACTTCCTTGTATGATGTGTCATTTAAACCAGTCCTTTATCACTGGTCACTGGCTGACCAACCTTTTGTAGTATAAAGCAGACTTTCTGTAAAGAGCTAAGCAATAAATATTTTAGGCTGTGTGGACCACATATGGTCTCTGTCCCATATTCTTTTTTGTTTTTTCAACAACCTTTTAGAAATGTGAAAACCAGTCTTTGACCATGTGAAAACAGTCCCAGCCTGGATTTGGTCTGTAGGCTGTGGTCTGCTGCCCCAGAATAAATAGGGCTGTGAGGTAAGTCTGGGGCATGCATCTTATGTCTGTCTGCCTCTTTCCTCTGGATCAGTTCCTAGACATGGCATTGTGGGTATTGAGTAATTGATGCTCCATTTTAAGGTTCTGGATAAATCCTATTAAATTACCTTCCAAAGAGGAATGTCAGTTGGCATCCTCACCATCAGTGTTTGAAAATTCCCTTTCCCTAAACACTTACCAAGGTAGAATGTTTGCCTTTTTTGTTGTTGTTGTTGCCATTTTGGGAGGAAATGGTATCTCATTTAATATCCGGTTGTCTTTTTTTTTTTTGAGATAGAGTCTTGCTCTGTCCCCCAGGCTGGAGTCCAGTGGCACAGTCTCCGCTCACTGTAACCTCCGTCTCCCGGGTTCAAGCAATTGCATTTTCATTTCTTAAGTCGGATGCTGAATAGTATTTCCCACTAATTAGCTGTTTATATTTTTTATGAGCTGCTATTATGTCTTTTGCCAATGTTTCCATTGGGGATATTTGTTTTTCTTCTAGGTTTACTAGAGTCCTTACATGCAAAGTATGTGAAACTTTTTTCTTAGGTTTTTTAGCTATGCTATAAATTCTTTGTTTTGCATTTGCCGTCTTTAGTCGTTGTTCTATACAAGTTTTGTTTTTTTGTTTCACTGCTTGAGTTTTGTGTGTTATGAAATGCTTAAAGCAGCCTTCAGACCCCAAGATGGTCATCTACATTTTCTTCTAGTCCTCCTATAATTCTCTTTTATGTTTAATTTTAATGCATCTGGAACACTGTGTTTTTCCAAATGGGTAGCCAGTGGCCCACCAAATAACCCAGTTCTCTATTGGTTTGAAAGGCCAGATTTGTCATACATTAGACTCCTGGCAGGGTGAGTGATGGTGGCCGTGCCAAGCACTGAGGGGAAATGTGGGAGGGCTGGACATTGTTTGTCTAGCTGTGGGCCACTGGGGTTGGGGGGAAGGGGCTGGGGGCCTAATTCAGTTTGGAAAGTATGTGTGTGAGAAGCCAAGTACAGAGTTTTGCCCTCTGTTCTGGAACCACAGTTAAGAGGACCATTGACAAAAGTAGGTACCTGTGTTAACATCAAACTATGGAAGGTGTAAAGGGGACAGGAGGAAGGGCGAATACCCCCAAGCCTTTGGGAGATGTGGTAGCACCAGGCTGGGTGGTCATGTGTGAGGGCCTCCACAGAAGGGGCACCTGCTTGGGAGGGAGAGTGAGTTTGCCAATTTTCTAGGTTCCTGCAAAAACAGAGTTGGTGACTCGGCCTAGCACTAGACTGCCACCATCCAGTGACCCAGGCGGGGGCACACAGCCCTGCCCCTCATAGCAGTCTGACCTTCCCTCTGCAGCCCAAATGCCTCAGTGGAAGGGAAAGATGCAGTTGCTCCTTTCTATTAAATGCATTCCCATTTATTTATAGAAAAGCACAATGTGAAATTTATTTAAACTCATTCTGAACCTAAATTCTTTGTCCTCAGACACATGGATTTGCACAGTCAGTTTAATCAGTTTTTTGGAATCTGCTGATTTTGTGGTATTTTGAAATTAGAAACAATGCTCATTAGAGTGTTGAAAAAGTATTTTTGGTTTATACAAATAAATAAAAAGATGAAACTATAAAAGTTTACTAGAAAGTTAAAGAGGATATTTGGATGGTGAAGTATTTTCTAAGTATGGCATCAAAGATAAAAATTTGGTTACAAAAATAACCTCCTCAGAAAACATCATAAATAAAAATTAATAGCAAATGATACACGGGGCAAATGTTACCCATTTCACAAAGGGTTGATTCCTTTTTGAGATGACCTTTCTGATGAGATCCTGTGATTTGACACTTCTGCATGTTAACCAAGGGTACCTTGCTGTGGGAAGTCCTGGCGAAGAGGCCCTCTCCCTCACTGCAGGTTGTGGGGGTGGTGGGTGTCACGTCTTCTGAAGAACATGAGCAGTGTATCAGAAGCTAGGGTTTCTGACCAGCAGATCCTCTTGCTGGGCTTCATCCTGAGAAAACATTTCATCCAGGATGAACCCTGCATTGATAGAGCAGGGTTGGGAGAAGAGGAAGCAACCTGGGGGCCCAGAGGTAGGAAAGTGCTTGTTAAACTCGGGCAGGTGTACCATGGAATGCAGGACACCATCTGAAACGATGGCAGAAATAGCTAAAACATATGTAGCACAGCTTTCTTCTATAAAGAAAAATGAGTATGCTGCATGCACACTATGTGTGTGGCCTAGAAAAGAGGCATAAAACACATGTACTTCAGGTGTCACATAATTTCTAGGTAGCATTTTGATGGAGTGTATATATTCTTACATAAAAAGCAAAAATGAAAGACAGCATAATTTATTATATGTTTACATATTTCATTTCTGTTGTCCTTTTCTCTTGAGTATGGATTGCCTTTGTAACAGAGAAATCTGTTTGGTTTGGTTTGGTTTGGTTTTCTGGTTTGGAGGCAGGGTCTCGCTCTGTCACCCAGGCTGGAGTACAATGGTGCGATCATAGCTCACTGCAGCGTACAACTTCTGAGCTCAAGTGATTCTCCCACCTCGCCTCCTGAGTAGCTGGGACTATAAGCAGGAGCTACCATGCCCAGCTCTTTTTTTTTTTTTTTCCTGGAGAGACAGGGTCTTGCTATATTGCCCTGGCTGATATCAAACCCTTAGCCTCAAGCGATCCTCCCACCTCGACCTCCCAAAGTGCTGAGATTTTTTTCTCCTGGGCATCTATTGTTAATTATATTTTCTTCTCTTAGGTGGCCTCCCTAAGTGAGCCACAATGCCTGACCTAGAAAAATCTTAAAAGAACTTTATCCAAACATGCCAAGTCATAAATGATGTTGATATACTTTATCCCCACAAGTTCATTTTCATTATCTTTCTCTCCTTTAAATATTAAGTGGACTAGGGCGTTCATCTAGGAAAACGTATGTGACAGTAGCATCTTCAGAAAAATCCAGCAAAGGGAACAGGCTGTTCTTGCAAGGAGCAGTAACTTTAAGCCATAGTAACTTGTAGTGCAAAGGAATCTGGGGCTTCTGGTTGGATTTGGGCCCAGAGGATGCAGAACTATTCCCTAGAGTGCACTGTGGATACCTGCAGTCCCAAACCCAGGGGGTGTGGGAGGTGACAGAGGTCCAGTCACCAGCACTGTCAGCTGGCAGGACATTTGGGGCTTGTAGAGAGGTGCTCAGAAGCCCATGGGGTAGACTTTGCTGCTGAGACTAGCCCTTGTGGACGCAGCCCATCAACACATGCCTCGTGGGTGAGGTGAGCCAGTATTCAAGGTTGAACACATGCTCAGCGAGTCAAACTACACGCTGAGTAAGCCATGAAACCAGCGTCTAGATAGGGTATGTGGTAAGGCTCTGGCCTGGATATGTGATTTGCAGAGACTGTCAGCGTGATCTCTCATTCTCTCTGTGTTGCAGCCTCCCAAAGTGAAATGCCTGACCAAGATCTGGCACCCCAACATCACAGAGACAGGGGAAATATGTCTGAGGTAAGTTTCTTGTCTTTCTTCTACATTCGTGAGTGTCACGTGTGAGCGTTGGGCTTTTAAACATGTTGTCTCCTCTGACAGAGGATTTTGAGGCATGCCCAAGATTAGGATGAGCTTGAACTCAGCTGAAGTAGCTGCGGTTGCCTGCCTGCTCCCAAACCCTACCCTACCTTCTGCCTCCAGACCAGTGTCCTCTCATGGCCCTCTGGGGGCCACAGCCCTACCAAGTTCTTAGTGCAGCCTCCTTGCTTGCCCAGGATGGACCCTTGGGGTCCCTTGCCTTGTTCCCCCCTATTTAAATGAGAGACCACATTCCCTCCATGTGGCTGATTTTAGCTAAGATGAGAAAATATGATTAATGATAGATACCCAGGAGAAAAAATGTAGATAGCAGGCTTAAGACAACCTTGGGCATTTGTATTTAAGCTGCCTTCTCTCTACCAAAATGGTCCTAATAGGTGTCAGGGCACTTAGGGCGGGCAGCCTCTCAGAGCTTCGTGTCCGCTGTGACTTGTGTCCCTGATCCCTGGCCTGGGCAGAACATCAGGGATCAGTGATTTCTCCTCCTAAGGCTGCTGGTAAAGATGTATGGGTGGATTGGTTGGTTTTTAAAGTAAGTTTCACGTTTGGGCTTTATTTTTTTGCGCTTTGTCCCTTTCATCACTTAAAGGCAGCGAGATTGATTGCAGGGGCTTTGATATCAGACCACCTGGACCTGAGTCCAGCTTGCTGCCCCCGCCCCGCCACCCGGGGCAGCTGTGGGACTTTAGGCTAGGTATTTGACCCGTATGTGCCTCACACTTAGCCAGTTTGGAAAGTAGGCACAATGTGTTTTCTTAGCACATTTCTCCTACTTTTGACATGAAATACAATTAGTGGCCTAAGTCAGTTCTCATGCTCAACCTCTGTATCTCTTTTCTTTCGTTCCTCTCTCCTTAGTAAATACTAATCACCTTTGAAAGGAAATGTGTAAACTGTGGCTGCTGGAAATCTTACCTCAGGATGCCTTTCTCTTCACAAGTACAGTTAGTGCCCATTTGTCCATTTCATTTTTGTATATACTGCTCCCTTTCTTCAGTATCAGCCTCATTTTTCGTAGATAGTTAAAAATACATTTTACCAGGCATGCCTTTTTAAAAAAGCATCTTCTCTTTGAAGTATCTGTCCTCTGCATATTGAAATGTTAAAATTCCACCATCTTTGGTTGCAGGTTATAAATGTGTTTGGCCCAGGCCCCCATTGCCCCGCTTCCTCCTGTGATTGTGAGGACACCTGGCTCACTTTCTGGGGGGCCATACTCTACTTACCTGTCTTGCCCCTGCCTCAGTCAGAATTGGGTGCAGAATAGGAAGCTCTCTTGTCCTTTTTGCCATCTTCTGGGAAATCAGATGATTAGCAAAGCCTGATAAGGATAAACAGATGGTATCCTGATATAAAAGCCAGACGTCTTAAGGAAAAAGATTGTCAGATTTGACCACATAAAAATTAAAAACACAAAATAGAAGGAGAAATGATCAACTGGATTAAAATCCTTGGTATGTAAATAGTCCTTACTATTCATTAAAAAAAGATGGATACTTCCTCTGGAAAAATGTGACATTGGCTACAAACAGGTGATTCATAAAAGGAGAAATAGAAGTGGGCAGTAAATATCTAAGGGGATGTTCACTCTCATCGGTAACCAGAGAAAGGTGCAGAAAACCATGAGGTGTGGCTTACCACTTATCAGATTGGCAGGCACAAAGGTAGATACTTGGTGGTGGGGCGGGGAGTGTGTGATAGAGAGCGAGCAGGCTCTCTCATTGGAGGGTGTGTATATTTGCACACCTTTCATTGGTCCTTCAGCCATGTAGACTACCTTTAACTCGTATGTACCCTTGGACTTGTCAGCTACACTTCTAGGGATTTAATCTAAGGAAATAATGTGCCAGATTGATGTACAGGGACCACCTTGTTAGTGAAAAGCAGACAGTGTCCAGTGGCAGCTTTATGGTGTGTCCTGAATAAAGGGAAAGAAAAGCCCAGCCACACCTCTGGTTTGTGGTGACCACTGGACAGCAGCTAATCAGGCCCTTCCCACAGCAGGACTGATGGATGCCTGGTGCTCCACGGGCCTTTCATTTCTGGCACACAGGAGCACCGTCCTCTTTTAGAGAGATTTGTCCTGGCTCCACGTTGTTGTCCCAGCAGGGACACTTCCCCTGCTCTGACACAAGGTCAGAGGCTCCATGTCTGTGGGATTGGAGGGCCTAGGTCAAAAGCTCAGTCGAAGCTTCTCCTAGAGCCTAAGCTTCTATTACAGTTCCTGGGGTGTCCTCTGTCTCCTTGCTTAATGACATCTCTGATAGCCAAGTGTCTCTGTCTCCTGAGCTGTTGCTGGGACTGTCCTCTGTGAGGCCAGGCTAGAACTTCCTCAGTGACTGGGGGCACTGCACCCCTGATGGGCCTCACTGCTGCCCAGACCAGTGGCCACCACATGCTGGGGCCGGCCTTGCCTCCCCATTCCCTACCCCGGCCAGATGCAAAGCCCTCCTGCTCTGGCTGTGCTGTTGACAGCAAAGCTCAGGGTAAGCTTCCTTCTCCTTCATTCAGCTAATGTTGATTGAACTTAGGCACTGGCAGAGGAATTAGAATTCCCTGCTTTTATGGATGAAACAGGCATTCAACAAATAAATGACAAATATGTAACTGAAGGTTGCATTAAGATCTGTATAAGAAAATTATTAGCTAGATCAGAAATAATTCTTCCACTCTAGTAATAAAATATAGCCACTAGGATTTGACTTGATTCCCAAAAAAGGTATTCAGAAGTTGACGATTCACATCCACAAGTCACCAGTACCTCTATCGGGTAGAAAGACATCCACCCAGTTGGTAGGGTATGTCATTTGAGTTTTCCTTTTTTCTTTTTAAGGCAAAAGTAAATTTTAATGGTCAATTTAAGGTTAGTTATCTGTTTTTTTAACTGCTCTTCATAGACAATTAAGATTATAGCTTTGACTCAAACTCTACATATTTTTCTCCTGATCTAAATTGACTTTCGTGAATTTAAACATGCTCTAATTCAAAAAAGTTTATCAGAGGTAACAATTATGGCCTATATAGCCTGATATTTTCTGTGCAGATCAAAGCCACAGCACAATAATTCAACAAATGCAAAAGTAATTTTATCTCCAGAAGGAAGTTTGGCAATAAATTATACTTTTTCGAAGTATGGAATGATCATTTAATCTTTTTAAAATTATTTAAATTTTTTTTTTACTTTTTGAGATTATTGTGAAAATGCTAATCTTCTCTGTATCATCCCAATTTGAGCATATGTGCTGCGGAAGTGAGCACTGGAATGATCATTTCCATGAGAGTATATGGTGTGCCTTACAGCTGATAGACAGTCAGGACCAGGACTCTCAGGTACCAGCTTCAGAAATGGGGCCTCACCCGACCTCTGAATCCTGGTGTGCCTTCCCTGAGCATGAGCCCCTCACCTAAGAAGTGATTGATATTCAGAATTGTGCATTAATCTTTTATCCTCAAGCATTTTCTTTTGAACTTAAAAAAAAAAAAAACCCAGTTATTAAAATGTCATACGCTGAGAGCTCCCATTGTTGTTAACCTGCATCAACAGTGTTTCAGAATGTTGGTGCCCGTGAGCTGCCTGGGTTGGAAGAACAACACTGTTCATGAGGCATGTGCCCTTGGGCCTGTCTTGTCTGTGCCTTGGTTTCCTCCGTATAAGACAGGGAAACAGTGATCCTTCCTTCATGGGTGGTTATAGGCATTAAGTGAATTTAATGGCACAGCACCTAGGATTGTGCCTGACATACACATAATAAGCTCTAAGCTTCAGTTACTCTTGTTGTCATGTTGTCATTTTGTTGCCATTGTCATTTTCTTTTCTTTTCTTTTCTTTTTTTTTTTTTCTTTTGGAGACAGGGCCTCACACTATTCCCAGGCTGGAGTACAGGGGTGCCGTCACAGCTCACTGCAGCCTCGAACTCCTGGACTCAAACAGTCCTCCTGCCTTTGGGACTACAGGCGTGCCCTACTATGCCTGGCTAATTTTTAATTTTTAGTAGAGACAGGGTATCACTGTGTTGCCCAGGGTGGTTTCAAACTCTTGGACCCAAGCGATCCTCCCACCTTACCTCGGCCTCCCAGAATGCTGGGATTACAGGCATGAGCCACCATACCCAGCCACCATTGTCATTTTCTGAACATTAAATTGACAGATGTTCTTTGTGTGTTGTTTTAAACATGCTTTTCCTCTGCCTAAAACTTCCGTGTCAAATATTACAACAAATAGACAAACATAACACAAGACGTTATACTTGAATATGTATATAACCTTGGAGGTAGAAGTGCCTTCCTCAGCAAGAGGAAACTGAGAAGCCACAGAGGAAAAGATGGGTTTAATAAAAAGTAGTTCTCCTGCATGGCCTAAAGACAAAATACGCACCGAGAGGACCAGTCGGCAGCGTGCAGGCACCTGTGGCTGCTCCTCACTAACCACTGTGTGTCTGTCTTTTTCAGTTTACTGAGAGAACATTCGATTGATGGCACTGGCTGGGCTCCCACAAGAACATTAAAGGTAGAGTCTGTGCCTTGATCATAAGTTGTCCCTGTGGTCCTCTCCCTGCAGTAGCCAGCCTCCTGAGAAAGCAGCACATGTCCTTGCCTGTCACATCCACACCAATGGCCAGACACAGCCTGCCTCCTCTTCTCCCTGCTGCCTGGGCTACTTAGCCAGTCACTGACCTCAGTCAGTTTGGGCCAGATGAGCATCCTTGTTGGCTTTGCCAGGCACCATTCTAGAACCAGAGATAGGAGCCCAGACTGCAGGCTTCACCACCAAACCACTCGCCACATAGGAAACCTCATGGCCACCATTCATTCAACAGGAATGTCTTGAGCTCTTCTGGCCACTAGGTGTTGGAGAAAGAGCAGCAAATTGATGTGCACACCACTCCCTATGGCCAGAGAAGACTGTCAGGTGTTGGGTACCTAACACCAAGCAGGGACCCTAGGGGAACAGCACAGGAAGGGGCTTTTGGCCCTGGCCCTGCATCAGGGAACACTGCAGACTGCATGCAGTCCTGACCAAGCTCCTCCAAGCTGTAGTCTCTGCCACCATGGGCAACCCACACCCTTTTCTTAGCCTCTCCCCACGCTCTAGAAATGTCCTTCCCTCTCAAAACTTTCCCTCTGCAGGCCATGTCTCTACCTGGAAGGTGGTCCTCTCCTCCAGCCCTCTCCCTGGCAGACTCCTGCTCCCCTGGGGCTCAGATGGCTGTCATTGCCTCTGGAGCCTCTCCTCCCAGGGTGGGTGCTCTGGGGAACATGTCTCGTGAGCAGTGCTGGCCTGCTGACCTGCCCACCTGTCCATCCCCCTTCCTCAGGCTGAGGGCTCACCTTCACTCACACTCCAACCCTAAGCCTGGCTCACATCGGAAGGTCAGGGATGGGTGGGTGGATGGATTGATGGACTAGAGAAAACAGAGGAGGGCAAATAAAATTACCAACTAGCAAAGATTAGGGGAGGAGCATGAGAACAGGCCTAAAAAGGATGAAACTCTTGAGTTGATGAAGAGGAAAATGGAGAATGAATTTGTGATTCACAGATGGCAAGTCAGTACAGATAGAACAACTCTGGCTTTCAGTTTTATTTAATGAAAATCTCTGATCCTTGAATTGTGAATCTTCCATTATTCTTTAAATAACTAACGCAAAATCATTAAGAAAACTTAATAGGATAAGGTGTAATTAACTTATCTACGACCGCAAGGGGCAGTAGATGTAAAAACAACAGACTTTATTTTGAAGGTGACTTTTTAGAAGTCAGAACCATATTTGGTGGTAACAGCTAAGAGGTGATCCAAGGTAGAGCCCCTATGCAGACCCTGGCCTGCGGGCCCTGTCGTGCAGGATTAGGCTTGTCAGGTCTGACTGGGAGGGCAGCTGATACTGTCTTTGATTTTATATTCACTACCTGAGACTGCTCACCTCTTTGAATTTTCCAGAGTTTGTTGTTACACTTGAAGACAAGTTATTTTAATTTTCTATCTTGAGAAAAACAAGCCATGCTGAAGACAGGTTTTGATACAGTACAATGCATATTTCTTGATCATGGGTTTACACATGCATACAGGTGCACAATGGCCTGAAACTTGTTTTCTGTTTTCTTTTTTATTTCAGGATGTCGTTTGGGGATTAAACTCTTTGTTTACTGTAAGTACAGTGATCAAAATCCCAAGTTTTTCTCGATTTCCTTGTTGCTGGTTTTAGATATTACATTAACGTTAACACAAAACCATGTTAAAAAATGAAATGTGGACTGGACACAGTGGCTCACGCCTGTAATCCTAGCACTTTGGGCGGATCCCCACTTGAACCCAGGTGTTCGAGACCAGCCTGGGCAACGTAACAAAGCCGGTCTCTACAAAAAATAGAAAAATTAGTTAGGCATAGTGTCACACGTCTGTAGTCCCAGCTACTTGGAAGGCTGAGGTGAGAGAATTGCTTGAGCCCGGGAGGCAGAGGTTGCAGTGAGCTGAGATTGCACCACTGTACTCCAGCCTGGGTGACAGAGATCTGCCTCAAAAACAGACAGATACACACAAAAACCCCCAAAAAAACATGCTTGCTGGGCATGGTGGCTCACACCTGTAATCCTAGCACGTTGGGAGACTGAGGCAGGCAGATCACTTGAGCCCATGAGTTCAAGACCAGCCTGGGCAGCATAGCAAGACTTGTCTCTAAAAAAAATAATAAATGAAAAAATACCCCACCATGCAAGTAGTTACATAATTACCCCTTTTTTCTGTTTCTGTTTTATGAGTCAGAAGTAGAACAGTGAGGTGGGGAATGAGGGGCCTTTGGAGTGACACGTGGGGAGGTTGTCTGGGGCAGGGGCCACAGCAGTCTCACTTCTGCCCTGCTGAGGTGGCTGACCCCAGTTTCTAGGGGATGAGGTTAGTTCCACTTGCCTTAGCCCCTTCCAGCAGGGTGGCTGTTACCCTGGGGTCACTTGGCCCAGTCCATGTCTGTGCCTGTGGCTACACTAGCCAGCCCAAGGAGTGGCCCTGTCACCTCCCAGGTGTCCTGGTTGGGGTGGATGATTTTGTGGTTACCCAGCCTTGAAGGCTTTTTCACGAGTCCAGAACCTCAGAGTTGTTGTCTTTTTGTCAGTGATGAGCTGCTGAAGTTTGCTGTTCTCAGGAAATAGCATTTCTCAGACAATGGCCCTAGTGCAGGAAGAGGCTAAATGGACTCAGCTAAAAGCTGTTGGTTGGATTTTTTTTAATACAATATTATACATTCCTTTGAATTTTTACTTTTTAATTAATAAAGGTGCTTTTAAAGAAATAAGCTTCAGAGATCTGTTTGTGAAAAAAAAGTTTTTGCTATTTTGATAAAACCTAAGGTGCCTCTATGATCTTGGATAGTCCACCCAGGCCAGGGGGCTGTTTTAGGAGCATCCTCCTAGCCAGTGTCATGTGGGTCACTGGCTGTCGCCTACAGCAGAGGCACCTGCAGGACTCAGTTAAACTAGGGGCAGGTCTGCTCTTCCTTGTCCCATCATCTGAGGGCACAGTGTTCTTATCTTCAGCAAAAGCAGAGCCTCAAACTAAACTGAGTCCCTGCCTACCTTTTGTCTTTCTGTCTGATGTTAGCTGGTGAATGTCTGTCACACAAGCAGAGAAACCAAGCACTTCCAGTGATTTCAGGATCTCCCTGAATCTCCGTGGGAGGTCATACCTGATGGAGACCTGGACTTCACAGTTTCTGCTGGTCTCAGCCACTTTGTTCTGCTTCTGTCTTTGGCTTTTTCATTGAAGTGAATGAAGTTTTATTTCTGGAGCCTAATTTGAAATCTATCTGGCCGTTGTGCTCCATTGTAATATTGAGCCTTGGCATCTCTAGATTTGATTGAGAGAGCCAAAGAGAACAGGTGTGAACTCAGGCGCTTCTAGGGGCCCACGTGCCGTCATTATCATCAGCCACCATGATGATTTTTTTCTGGAGCCCACCATGTCTGTCCCAGGTTCCTTGGCTCTGAGTAGGTTTTGACTGGCGACTTGCTGCAGGGGAATTAATGGGAGGAAAGAAACACTGACTCCTTGGACTTAAAAAAAATTTTTTTGGCTGGGTGCGGTGACTTATGCCTGTGATTCCAGCACTTTGGGAGGCACCGAGGCCGGCAGATCACCTGAGGTCAGAAATTGGAGACCAGCCTGGACAATATGGTGAAATCTCACAGCTACTAAAAAAAAAAAAAAAATTTGCCAGGCATGGTGGTGGGCGCCTGTAATCTCAGCTACTTGGGAGGCTGAGGCAGGAGAATCGCTTGAATCCAGGAGGCAGAGGTTGCAGTGAGCCGAGATCACACCATTGCACTCCAGCCTGGGCAACAAGAGCGAAATTCCATCTCAAATTAAAAAAAAAAAAAATTGAAGAGAAATCTGCTATAGCCACACTAACTTCCCATCTCTAAGTGCTCTCAGTAAATTCTAAGAAAGCCAACCAAAATTGCTAATTAAGTCTTTAATGGTTATTCTGATCAACTCATTTATCTTAGGTCTAACATACAGTAAAGAAGATAAGAAATTTTGTGTGTCTGATACAGTCTATCTAATAATGTACTTTACATTTTTGCCTTTTTCTGGGACTTGGAATCTAATTTTCCAACTGTGAATGACTATAGAGATTTACAGTTTTTCTTTGCTATTTTATAACATTTTAATGGTCACAGCCATATTAATCTCCAGGAACATTGTCCCCAAATTTAACGTCCTTCCTGAAGAGAAATATGGTTGTCTTGACGATGATCCATCCTGTAGCCTGCGTTAGAAAGCCATGACTCATCATAAGGACAAATTGAGGCCCCCTGATTTTTTCTTTTTTTTTTTTTTTTGAGACCAAGTCTTGCTCTGTTGCCCAGGCTGGAGTGCAGTGGTGCCATCTCAGCTCACTGCAACATCCCCCTCTGGGTTCAAGCAATTCTCCTCCCTCAGCCTCCCGGGTAGCTGGGATTATAGGCATGCACCACCATGCCTGGCTAATTTTCGTATTTTTAGTGGAGACAGGGTTCCACCATGCTGGCCAAACTGGTCTCAAACTCCTGACTTCAGGTGGTCCGCCCACCTCAGCCTCCCAAAGTGCTGGGATTATAGACATGAGCCACCATGCCCGGCCAAGCAAGCCCCTCTGATTCTCAACAAGAGGGGTGAGCAGTGTGAAGATAAGATGCGGCCTTGGTCCAAAGTCCAGAGTGCTTCTTGGGGCTGAGGGGCATAGCCGTTGCAGTGCTTTTCTAGGGGAGAATGGGTCTGGCACCCTCTCCTGAGTCTGGGGGCATGAGCCTAGTGACACTGCCATGCAATTTGCTCGGGTTCCAGACGTTGTCCCTACTGACTGTGCATGGGAGACTTGGTGAAGCAGAGAAAGGAAAGTCCAGGGAAGAGAACCCATGGGCTCAAAAAGTCAAAGCTGTTAATCACAAAACAAAACAAAAAGATAATTTTTATGGAAAAGAAGGGGATTTTTATTTGGAAATGCTTAATGAGAGTGGTTTTCATTCTCCAGTTATCACAAATAGCATCAGAAATGCATGTGATTGCAGTTTACTCCATCTTCACCAAACTTTGTAGAACTGCATGTCAACATATCTCTGACTTCTTTCAGTCAGTTGTCAGTCACCATTTTGAAAAAAATGCCCACATGTTCGATACTTCCATATCACAAGCACTTGAGTTCTTAGTGGGATTCTCAGCTCTTCAGTTTGGTCTGCCATTTGCTAATTAGACTTCTCTTACTGTGCCATGAAAAGAAGACTTTAACAGCAGAAAAGCAATTCTTCCAGTGTTTACTTTAAGTTTCTCTCTTTTTAAGGATCTTTTGAATTTTGATGATCCACTGAATATTGAAGCTGCAGAACATCATTTGCGGGACAAGGTGAGCCAGGAACAGGCTTATTCTAGGTTGATGTACTTGTCACAAAGATGATTACTACTGTCTCTTGATTGGATAAATGAGAAATTGAGAGTGGTGGGATGCAAAGCTGGAATTCAAAGCAGTTTGTAAACAGTATGGTATAGTAAATGTATGTAACCTCAGGAAAATGCTTTACCCAATGTTAGAGAGAATTGGTGTGTGTTTGGTTTTTTTTTTGTTTTTTGTTTTGTTTTGTTTTTTGAGACAAGGTTTCACTCTGTAACCCAGGCTGGAGTGCAGTGTTGTATTAGTGGCTCACTGCAGCCTCTACTTGCTGGGCTCAAGTGATCCTCCCACTTCAGCCTTCCGAGTACCTGAGACTACAGGTGCATGACACCACACTCAGCTAATTTTTTTACTTTTATTTTTTGTAGAGACGGAGTCTTGCTTTGTTGCCCAGGCTGTTCTTGAACTGTTGGCCTCAAGCGATCCTCCTGCCTTGTCCTTCCAAAGTGCTGAGATTACAGGCATGAGCGCCGGCACCCAGCTGAGAAGTGCTTTTTATTTGATGCGATTTCCTAGTAGAATTTAGTATGAGTAATTTAAAACAGGTATAGCACTAGCATGGTGGCATTGTGATTCCACCTGTAATCCCAACCTTTGGGAGGCCAAGGTGGGCAGATTGCTTGAGCTCAGGAGTTTGAGACCAGCCTGGGCAACATGGCAAAACTCTGTCTTTACAAAAATTAGCCAGACATAGTGGCACATGCCTGTGGTCCCAGCTACTCAGGAGGCTAAGGTGGGAGTATTGCTTGTGCCCAGGAAGTTGAGTGAGCCAAGATTGTGCCATTGCACTCCAGCCGGGGTGACAGAGTGAGACCCCATCTTTAAATAAATAAATAAATAAATAAATGGTAGGAACAGAGAAGGAGAATGGACGGTGTCACACCTACCAGCACCCTCCTGACCCCCAGTGGCCCACCTTATCCTTCCACACCTTTTGCTGAGCTCATACACATTCATACAAACTTGACTTTGATTTTTACCCAAAAATAATGAGATCCTATTCATTACTGTTTTTAATTTTTATTTATTTATTTAATTTTAGGGCAGTACCCTGAGATTGTAAAGGTTCAGAGAGCTCCCTCTATTCATTACTTTTAATCTTCAATTCCTCTTCTAAAAGGTTTTTTCCTCTAATGCATTGCATAAATGATCGGTCATTCATTTCAGGAGCCACATTGAGGTCTTCCAGTAAGATACCTGTTAAGGAAGAAGACAGTTTACCTAGAAACAATATATTAAAACTCACTGGAAAGAAAAAAATACAACAAAACCAAGCTGAAAGAGTTATAGTCGGTGAATGTCACCTTTCCACTGTGCTTGAGTAGCAAGGCAGCAGTGGTTTTAACTGTCTGATAAAAGAAAGCATACAAGCCTTGAGGAGGGGAAGTGCTGTCAGGAAAGGGGGTCTGAAATGACTTTAACATTGGCCCAGTGCAAAGCACATGGAGCAGGAGCCTGCAGAGGCAGGTCATGTGTGGCTGGCACCGAGGTAGCTCAGCTTAGGTGAAGGGTTCTGGCTGGATTTGGTGGTAGAACCTCACATTCCATTACCTGAACCAGATTCCCTACGGCAGCCTTGCCATTGTGGCAGTCGGTCAGCCACCGTTGTTCGTTTGGCTGAAGTTGCTTTTTTTTTTTTTTTGAAACAGAGTCTGTTGCCCAGGCTGGAGTGTGCAGTGGTGCAATCTTGGCTCACCTCCATCTCCAGATGCAACCTCCATCTCCCGGGTTCAAGCAATTCTTGTGCCTCAGCCTCCCGAGTATCTGGGACTATGGGCGCGCGCCGCCACACTGAGCTAATTTTTGTATTCTTAGTAGTAGAGACAGGGTTTTACCATGTTGCCCATGCTGGTCTCAAACTCCTGGCCTCAAGCGACCCACCCGCCTCAGCCTCCCAAAATGCTGGGATTACTGCACCCTACCTGATGTAGCTTTGAACACCATTCTAAAACCCCTCTAGCTAGTTCTAGACATCGTGCAGAATGTTCAGCGCCTTGGCTTCTGTTAATGTTAGTTAGACCTACTATGTGGCACGACCGAATAGGGCGTTTGAAACGTGCCCTGCCAAGTCCTCGCTACAATCTTGAGCCTAAGTTCAGACCAGGAGGTGCTGCCTGACCACGGCCCCAAAGAGTGGGCAGGAGCACCTCCGACAGGGAGGCGAGAGAAGTGCCACCCAGCATGCATCCTGCTGAGACTCACAAAACAAGTGGCAGGCACAGTGGGCACGGGGAGTGGTGCAGTGCAAGCAGGTGGGCAGAGCAGACCATCTACTGAGGCTGGTGTTCTGCTGAGGAGGCGAGCTCTGTCTTGAGGGCTGGGGCAGCAGGGGTCCTCAAGAGAAATAACAGTGGTGTAAGGCAGCCCTGTGCCCACAGCTCCCCATGAGAGCAGTCAGTCCCTGACCCCTGCCGTCCGTCAGTGTTTCTGATGGGCTTGTGTTGTCTGGCAAAGCCTTAGGCTTGGTACTGCACTGACAAGCCCTGGGCAAATGTGCCCCTTGGCCCACCCCTTGCAGGCATTCGTGGCTGCACTCTGTCTGCTCTTGCTGGTGATGACTAGCCCTTGTGGACCAAGCCTTGTCAGATAGAAAGTGATGGCAATAGGGGCACTCCCACAGCTCCAGGTGGAGAGATGTCTTCCATTTTACCTTTCTTTGTATGAAATAAGATTTCATATTCCTGATTTGTATGAAATAAGACTTTGCAACTGATACACTTTTAGCCCCAGTAAAATGGACCTAATATCTCCAAACAGTGATGCCTCCACATGAAGCCTAAGCAGTGCCGCAGCCCCACCCACGTCTTTATGCGGAGTAATAGTCACAGTTGTTGAGCGCCGCTTCCTTATGTCCACTCGTTCATCACCTGTTTGACTGGTGGCCACTTATGTGCCAGGGGAGGTGTGGAGTGCTCGGGATGACTGGGAATGACAGTCCCCGTCCCTGTGGCGCACACATTCCAGCAGGAGGACGCGGAGCATAGGCGAACAAACACGGCCAGATGCAGTGGCTCACGCCTGTAATCTCAGCACTTTGGGAAGCCAAGGTGGGCAGATCACCTGAGGTCAGGAGTTCAAGACCAGCCTGGCCAACGTGGTGAAACCCCGTCTCTAGTAAAAATACAAAAATTAGCCAGGCATGGTGGCAGGCACCTGTAATTCCAGCTACTTGGGAGACTGAGTCAGGAGAATCACTTGAACCCAGGAGGCAGAGGTTGCAGTGAACTGAGATTGCACCATTGCACTCCTGCCTGGGCAAAAAGGGCAAAACTCCATCTCAAAAAAAAAAAAAAAAAATGAAAATTAAAATGAAAAAGAATAGGCGAACAAACATAGCATGTGAGGTGGAGAGCAGGCCACAGAGGGCCGGGTGGTGAGAGAGGAATGCTCCAGAAAACCTTGGCTGCTAGTGCAAAGCCCCTGAGGCAGGAACGTGCTGCAGAGGTCAGGGCAGAGAAGAGAGGCCATTATGATTGGTGCAAGTCAGGAATGGAATAGTAGGAGCCGGGCGCACTTCTATGCACTTGACACAGAGTACACTTGTGTCTCACAACAGCCCCTTGGGCCGGATACCATTATGATCCCTGTTTTGCTGCTGAGGACACAGATGCCAAGAAGCTGAGATTCGCCATGGTTGAGTAGCCCGTCGGAGGCAGAGCCCAGGACTTGGATCCTCCTCTGTGTGGCTCCAGAGTCTGTGGTTTTCACTTGGGCCCTGTGCTTTGTGTCCCTTGTAGTAGGAGAGGAGGAGGGAGGCAGCAGAGGCTGGAGCATGGGGCCTGCTGCAGGCATGGATGCTGGGCTCTATGCTGGGTGAGGTGAACAGGGCAACTAAGAGTACATGGCATCTTTTGTCCTCCGAAACATGGAGAGGCAGGGGCATTTATGGGGTCTTCATTTTACATCCTGTAAGCTTTTTCAGGGTCCTTGTGAGCTGACAGTATTGTCTGGCTCTGGGGACTGTGGAAATGGCCTTGAGAAGGTTTTGTAAAAGGGCAGGTAGGGTTTCTGCACAGTTCCCCTTTTTTGCGGGGTAAAGGCCCATGTGGGAGGCTCCAAACGCCATCCTGTAGACAAATAGGGAAGTTGGCAGGGCAGAGGCACCTGGGTAGACTCAGAGCACTCCACTTTCTCACCCTGAGACCAGAGAAAATCATGGGACCATATCCATAGCTTCAAATTGGGAACTTGCCAGCCCTGGAAAGGGTCGCCGTGCTAATTAAGGGTGTGGCAGGAGGGCAGGCACCTGGTGCCCAGCTGGCCAGGACCATGCTCCAGGCAGGGTCTCTCCTGTGAGAGGGCATCGTGGCAGCAGCGAGGTATACACTGAGTACCTGGGTGCTCCCTGCACGTTGCCAAGTGTCGGGATTATGCAGTGGAATCAACAAAGAGGCTAGACTGAGGCTTAGACAGGAGGACTGAGGTTTAGCTAAGGAAATGGAACTCATGCCCACTAAGAACTGTGGTAACTGTGCTGTGTTCCCTGTGCAGTGGGGGCTGCATGGCATTGATGTGACTGAAGCAGTGTGATCCTATGGGGACATCTGAGACCCAGCAGCTGTGTTGTAGGAGTGAGAGGGTTAAGAGCTCCAAGTCACTCTTATGGCTCATACAATCCCATGGGATTTTACTCGTAACCTTGGGGATACCAGATCCAGGGATAAACCTGACAGTGGCCCAGATCTGAGATTGTTCCACCCATACTGGCCTGGGGTGATTCCTAGGTCCACACCGCCTTTGATCACTGGCCACCTGCTCTTCAATGCAGGAGGATGGAGCTCTGTGGCACACCCAGCTCTCTTCTGGGCAGGGTGTAGTCATCCTGTGTAGTCATCCTGTGGCTCAGACCCATTGTGGCCAAAGGAGTCTTGGCTTTGTGACCTTGACCACACTTTTCTGGGTTCCACTTTCCCCGTCGGGAAATGAGGAGGGATAGGTGCCCCCTGAGGGTCCCTCCCACTCAGGCCTTCCGCATGCTCCCCCCCTCAGCACACCCAGCACTGTGTCTTGCATGCAGTAGGCACCTAGGTCGTGGCAAATGGCACTCAGACTCCGCAAGGTCCCAGTCCTTCTACCACCTTGGCGACCACAGGGGGCCTTGGTGCTGGTGGATCTGACTTGTCCCTGAAGCGCTGCTTTACTCACTCACTCACTCTTCCTGTTCTTCTTTCTGTCCCCAATGCTCTTACTCCACAGGAGGACTTCCGGAATAAAGTGGACGACTACATCAAGCGTTATGCCAGATGATAAAAGGGGACGATTGCAGGCCCGTGGACTGTGTTACAGTTTATCTCTAACGTGAAACAGCAAGAGGTAGCCCCCTCTCCCGTCTTCATGCTCCCTCTCAGTCCCCTGGATTGCCCCAGTCCTGTGACCATGTTGCCCTGAAGAAGACCATCTTCATGACTGCTCATTGTAGATGGAGAATTCAACATAAATACAGCAAGAAAATGTGTTTGGGCTTCTGAAGAGTTGTCTGCTTACCTTAACATGTTTACTTTTTTGAACTTGTACTGTATAGGCTGTTGGTGAAATTCTTAAGAAGTTGTAATGAACTCAAAATTGAGGCCAGAGCTTGCTTTCCCTTTTCCCAAACAAAATTGGTTTTCTGCACAAGCGATGCTAATGATGTGTTCAGTGTAACCTGCAGATTGGCAATAAGATACCCGCTACAAACTGTGATTGGATGCAAAATCTCTTAGCTTTTTCACGAATGTTGGCCCTGCCTAGATGTTGTGAAGCTTCCCAGAATGCATAGTCATTCACTGTAGATCTCTTATTGAAATGCGTATTTTATTTAATGTAAGTATATTTTGGAACAGATTTGTAATTTGTACAATTTAATGCTTTAATTATTTTTTCTATTCTCATTTAGTTTGTATTTTCATTGTATAGAGCAGACAGAAAGATGTTGGGTCAAGCAACTATTGAAGAGAAATACAAAGAAAATATGAAAGGCACATTATTCATTTTGTCCAAATGCAATGAGAATCTCACTCTTAAAAACAGCTCTTGCTTTCAGGTCCAGATGTGGCAAGGACGTTTTGGAGCCCTTTGAAGCTAGATTTGGATGATCAAAACAAAAAGGCAGGGAGCCCATTGTAACATGCTGCCCAGAGGAAACTGGCTGGAACCTGGACCAGCTGGGGTTGATGTTTCTGCAGTGGTCATGTGATTGTGACCTGGTAGCTACATACCAGAGCATCAGACCCTGCTGTCCTGGGAGACAGGAGCGATGCCTCAGGAATCAGCCTAATGTCTGATGTCACTGAGACTGTACCTATGGCCTTCTTCTGAGTTTGCTATGGCTCCAGGCCCTGCCTGTGGGGTGAGCCTCCTAGGCCTTGGAGGACCAGGAGTCAACAGTGGCATATGCCATCCTCGGCCAGGTTAATGTACTGCAGAGGAAGAGCGATGAAGAGAGAGGCAAGTGGATTTACTCCAGCATGTAGACATTTGAACCAGTGAAATCAAACGCAAAATAGATGTCTGTCTAGTTTCCTTTGCTGCCTGCCTAACACTCAGATTTAACTGCCAGCTTCCTTAGACCTCTAGATTCCCCTGTCTGCCATCTACTGGGTTTAGTTTGTTTTTCTTAATTTATAGAATCTCTGATTCACGGAGATTCTGTCACGGAGACCCAGCAGGTGAGGAATGTAGGCCTTGCTTTGTCTTTGCACCCATTAGATTTGAGGGTGGCCCCTGGCTAACGGGCCACACAGAGCAGGAAGGGTGAGATTAGATAAAGAGAATGATGGCATCTCAGGAACTCGCGGCTTTTCCAGGAGACACATTAATCCCCGCCTCTCAGGGCCTAGGAGAGGGAGGTACTGCAGCTTCACACTTGTCCTCTGCCTAGTTATCCCGGCCCGCGGGATCGTCGAAGCAGGCCCTGGAGGAGGGAGTGGGAATTTGGGGAACAAGAGACACGAGAAATGGAGACAAGACAGTGCTCTGATCAAGTCTCGTTTAATGGCAGTAATGCAGTGCCTTATATACACTTGGAGAGGAAGGGGTTGGGCCAAGGCGGAAATGATCTCATTTCAGAGGGCGCGGCCAGGCAGGTTTCAGTTTCAACGGTCGGTCGTCATGTTGCGCCTGCGCTAGGAAGTAACAATTTTGCTACGAAGTAACAATTTTCGCGCGCCCCGCGGGAAAGATGGGTGAAGAAGAAGCAGGAAGAGTGCCATCTTGTGCGAGGTATTTAATACAGGGAAAAGACAAATCTGGGAAGGAGGTGAGAGGTGGAAATGAATAGAGCTCAGGCATCTAATCGTCAATAATTACTCGCTATGGCCGGGGCGCGCAGCTCCGGACACCTAGTGTCAGAGGAACTTGCCGGCTGAGCACTAGGCATCCTCTCTAGTCAGGGCAGGAGGCCAGCAGCTAATTCCTGCCCCCTGTGACCCAGGAAATAAGGTTCTCTGCCTGGTGCCATTCCCAGGCCCAAGGCAGGGCACATCCCATAGTAGTTGCTCAGGCTCCCTGGAGTTCCCTGGCTGGTGGTGCAAGTGTTGATGCAGGACTTTTCAGAAGAGCACTTCTGTGGGAGAAATGCCAGTGCCTGCTGTCCAGTGGAAACATTTATGCAGTGTACGTGAAAGACAATGCGCCCTCTGGACCACACTGAAAGTGGTAATATCAGTTATTCTAACATCAAAGTATCTGCACAGTAGAAAATCACTTTGCTCGTTATCAGGGATTAAGCAATTATTTTAAAATGTCCAGATAACTGAATCATCCCATTCTGTCTAGTGGAAATCCCCTAGAAATATTTTGCACACACACCCCATCTTAGGCGCACACTCAGATGCGGCCCGTCGCAGTAAGTAGCTGGTGTTGTCCTGGGTGCTTGGCCGGTGGGGCCCTTGGGATCTGTTGGGTGACTGTGGAACCTGGTTTCCTTCCAGACTTTTTGACTTCTTGGCATTCGCCTCCCTCTTTCACAGGCCAAAGTCACATTTCTGGCTCCAACGCATATGCCCCCAACCAACTGGGTACTAGTTGGTGATTTCTGATCTGTCAGGGAATGGGAATCCCTAGACTTGGCCAAAAGACCAGTCCTGGAAATAGGTGGGAGTGGGCAGGCCCTTGGGGAACTGAAGCTCTTGGGAAGCTCTGACATCCAGTTGGACATCCAGAACCTTTGCTTCCTGAATCCTGGTTCTTGGCTGGACTCCAGAGGGTCCTTATGACTATTGCTTAGAATTTGATGCGTAAGCTATATATTTTTCAAGCATTCCTAGAAGGAAACACTTCCAGGGTAAGCCTCTCAGAAGAAGGCTCACATCTCACCTCTGATCTTCCCCTAAATAACCACCAGCAGGTGACCAGCCCTTTGCAGTCTTTCTACTAAGGAGCCAAGGCAAGAGTATTACTCAGATATTGAAAATGGATCTCAGCTATGCCCCTCACCTTTTCTCCCACGACTCGTCGTCTGTGGTGTTTCCATCAGCTTTATTTGCAGAGCACAGACCACAGGGAGCCGGTGTCTTGGGTTAGGGTTGTCTTCACCTGCCCTCATCTCCAAGCACGGGAGGCCTGAGAGGCTGCTCAGGAGCTAAAACATTGTGAATGTCTGTTCTTTTAAAGGATCATGTACCTTAGTATTTGGCTGTTCACATGATTCAAAGCACCTGTGCATATTTTCCTCTGTCTCTAGTTACTTGCACACTTGTCTAGAAAGACCTTGTGGGGTGTAGAGCACAACAGTGTTCATAGCTAGGCCAGTCTCAGCAGAGTCCTAGCCCATTCAGAGGCCATCTGGTGATAGGCCCAGCATGTTTTTTTCTTATGGCAGCAGAAAGATTGAATAGCCCTTCTGCTGGATTCTAGACCCCCCAAAAAAGAAAAATAAAATCCCAGAGGGCATACTCCCAGGCGGTGGTGATCACAAAAATCTGTCACAGTCTGCAGCGAACAAACCCCACTTGCTGTTCCTGGGGTTGCTCTGCTGCCACTCCCCACCCCCACTTACTTAAAGAACTGCTGTGGAAAATCAGTTCCAGTTTCTTCCGTAAAACCCACGGCACTACTGGTGCATTCTGATTTACCTTTGTTAAGTAGAACCTTCTTATTCCCTAAGAGATTTTCAAAATAAGTCTCATATTCCTGTTAACATCACCCTTTTTGCCAATAATCAAATCAAGCAGATTGTGTTTTTTTCATGTAAGAATTCCAAGAAGAAGATGTAAACCATCAATTCAGGATTGTTTTCACTTTCTTTTTTTCTTTTTTTGAGATGGGACCTCACTTTGTCACCCGGGCTGGAGCTAGAGTATAGTGGTGTAATCTCAGCTTACTGCAACCTCCACTTCCTGGGCTCAAGCAATCCTCCCACCTCAACCCCCCAAGTAGCTGGGACCACAGGCTTTTGCCACCATTCCCAGCTAATTTTTTGTATTTTTGGTAGAGATAGGGTTTTACCATGTTAGCCAGGCTGGTCCCAAACTCCAGAACTCAAGCAGTCCGCCCGCCTTGGCCTCCCAAAGTGCTGGGATTACAGGTGTGAGCCACCCCACCCAGCTTTCACTTTCATCCATATGTTTCACTTTGGAAATTCAAGTTTGCTACACATTCACTATTCATAAAATAAGTCTAGTAAAGTGTTGATACATAGTCTTAGTAAAATGTTTAACTCGTTCTTTGCCAAAGAATAATTTGAAAAATGAGAAAACTGTCACTCCCCTCTTTCCTCCCTCCTATAGCCCCACCTAAAATAAAAAATATTGAACAGCTGAGAGGGGCTGGTTCAGAGGCGTCTATGTCACCTGTCTACGCCACCTCTCTTACCCCAGGTTTCCATGGGTTACAGAAATTTATTTATTGAAAGAATTGTGGTTTGAAAAAATAAACTTCTTCAAGAAACCCACTGATGGGAGCATTTGGGGATCCTGCATTGTTAAGAATATCTATTTGTTCACACAGGTAGATAAAGAACTGAATGATCTCTTCAAAAAATTCATCTTAGGCCTTGTTGATTCTCATTGGCAAATTCACTGAGCCGGAGTTCTTCCGGCAAATTCACTGAGCCAGAGTTCTTCCGGCAAATTCACTGAGCCGGAGTTCTTCCGGCAAATTCACTGAGCCAGAGTTCTTCCAGTAAATTCACTGCTTTTTTAAAAAAAAAAAAGCTTATGCCAGGGCCAACTGGAAATGACAGTGCCTGCCCCAAGAGTTCCCTATGCTGGGGAAGAGAACACCTGTGAACAGGGCCTCCATGCACAGCCGACTGGGGTAAATACTTGTCAGGGGGGCACCAATAACCAGGAGAGACTTACATAGTAGCCGTAGTGACTTAGCACTTCCATTTTGTCTCTTCCTTGGGCCTCTGGTCCACAGTTCATGTATGGGTGTTTCCCCTTCTCTGATAATCTAGGTGATGCCCAGGTGATGCTCTTGTGGCCTACAAGGCCTCCTCTGTCTGTATTTGTTGTATTTTTCAGTGTTGGGTTTTCATCACCTCAGTGTCCAACTTCATGATGTTCCTAGCAGCTCATCACTCCTATGTCATCCCTGATGCCTAATGTTGAAAGATTACTTTGTGTCAAACCAGTCATTGATATTACCAGATATCCCTTTCTAAAAATATGTCTTCCAACCTCAGTGACCCCGTTCACCTGTGACCTTCTGCCCTCTCCTAACCATGGTGAGGTGGAGGAGCTGCAGCTGGTGCGGCCCTGTGGGTCAGTAGTCTCCTTTCCTATTCCTGAGAGGTTTCCGCCTCAAGTTAGTCTGAAAAGAGAAAACCTGTATCCCTGGGGAGTGCTGTGGCAAGGAGCCCCAGATAGACTAGAAGACACAGGTGGAGCCCAGTGACTTCGTGGATCCCACTCACATGACCGTGTGCTCTGCCACACCAGTCACAGTGGCATGTGACAGAAACCATGGTCATTGTAGGAAGGGCAGTGGGATGTGGAAGAGCTGGCGAGATATCCAGGCGAGACTAAAACCCGTGGGGATGGCCTCCCCACCCACATCCTCTCCACTTTACTGCCATAGAGGTTTCTGAAACACCTTTGACCATTCCACCTCTTCTTCTTGCCTTCAGAACAAGCATTCCTGTGCCTGACATACAAAGCCCATTGTCACTGGGCCCTTGTCCACCTGCCAGCCACTGCCCTGAAGACCCTGGCCTCAAAGTAGTGCTTCCATGCTGTGAGATGAGGTCCACTCTTCCAAGACACTCAGCCTCCCTCTTGAGACTCCTTCAAGATTTAGTTCATGCAGTGCCACTGCTATGAAACTGTTCCTGCTCTTACAGGTAGATGAACACTTCCTGAGTATCCTCATCTTTCCCAAGCTTCCAGAAGCACCAAGGGTGTGGACTGCACTTACATATGTATTCCCGCCTCTCCCAGGAGTCAGCATCTGGAGTACAGGCCTTAGCCAGCTGCAGTAACTGAGCAGGTTACTACAATGTGATTTTTGGCTGTTGAGTAAATATGTAGTAGCTTAAGAGCACAGTACACCAGCTGCAAGCCTGCTTGTGGCAGTTAACCAGGAGCTGGGTGCACTGACCAGCCCAGGCAATAGCTGAGTTTGGCGTCTGGCACCACCCAAGCGCGGTAACTGCCTTCCATCAGCTGACAGATGCCAAGGCTGAGCAGAGTGTGCTTTGCTTGAGTAAAGCTTGTGGGGAAATGCTGCAGAAAAGAAGAAGTAATATCCTGGAGATTCTAAGGGTAAACATGATTTTAGAAATGAAGTGTAGGATCAAAAAAATATTTTAGGGAAGAAAAATCCACATGTTTAGGAAAATGCAGTAAATTGCACCTTTGACTAAAAATTAAAAAGCCCTAAGTAGGCAATAGGCCAAAGTGAACGGAAACAGAATGAAACTATAAAAGAACCTAGATGAGGAAACTAAAATCATCATCATAAAGTGCACAGCAAAGGGCAGGATTGATGCTGAGAAAGTAGATCAATGATGTGGAGGCAAACTTGAGGGATTCTCCCAGAATGCAGAAGAAAACAGACAAAAGCCATCAGAAGGAAGATAACAGAAAGGACAGAGGGGACTTGTGCTTACAGCTTGAGTAACAAGGATTGAATCTACCCTCCTATATGAAATAAGCAAAAACCCAACAGTATCTATGGGTTTTCAGGCTTTCAGACATGACATCAGGCAGTTCATGACAGCGATTTTAGTTAACAATCTCCTAACAGAAATGTCCAAGATGCAAATGAAAATCACTCATCATACCAAGAACCAGGAAAATTGCAACTTAAATTAGAAAATACAATAAACTGACACTAATCATGAGCTGAATCAGATGGAATTTTCTTACAAGTATTTTAAAGTACCCATCATAAAAATGTTTCAAAAGCTGATTATGAATTGTTCTGAGACAAAAGAAAAAAATAGAATATCTCTACAAGGATATAGAACTTAGAAAACCAAATGGAAATTATTGAACTAAAATGTGCAGTGACAGAAACTTTAAAATTTTACTGGATGGGCTCAATAGTACAGTAGAAATAACAGAAGATACAATCAGCAAATCTGAGGACAGATCAATAGAATTTACTAAGTCTGAAGAGAGAAAAACCATAAAGGGGGAGTCCAGGAGGACAAAGCCTCGATGGAACAATGACGAAACATTCTATTTCCTATTGAGTTCCAAAAGGAGAGGAGAAAGGGAATTAACACTAAAAGAGTATTTGAAACAGTAAAGGTGAAAACTTTGCAAATTTTATGGAAAGACTGAAACACAGATTTATGAAGCTGAGTGATCCCCACACAGGATACACTCAAAGAAATCCATGCCAAGAGGCCAGGCATGGTGGCTCACGCCTGTAATCCCAGCATTCTGGGAGACCGAGGCGGGCGGATACCTGAGATCAAGAGTTTGAGACCAGCCTGACCAACATGGAGAAACCCCATCTCTACTAAAAATAAAAATTACTGGGCATGGTGGTGCATGCCTATAATCCCAGCTACTTGGGAGGCGAAGGTTGTGGTAAGCTGAGATTGTGCCATTGCGCTCCAGCCTGGGCAACAGGAGTGAAACTCTGTCTCAAAAAAAAAAAAAAAAAAATCCATGCCAAGGAAAATAATAAATTAACCGTCTAAAAACTGAAAACAAAAAGTTCTAAAAGCAGCCAGAGGAAAATAGTGCATCACCTATAGGGGGACACCAGTTTGAAAGCAGTGAATTTCTCCTCAGAAATCATGGAGCCCAGAAGGAAGTGGCATGGTATTATAAAAGTGTTGAAAGAAAAATAACTGTTAACCATGAATTCTATATACAGTAAAACTTACTTTTAGGAATGAGTGAAATCAAAACATTCTTGGATGAAATAAAACAAGAAGAATTAGTTACTAGCAGATCTACCCATAAAGTTTAGCTAAAGGAAGTTCTTCAAACAAAAGAAGTGATAAAATAATGAATTTTCATAAATCGTATGTGTTGATTAAATTAAAAATCATGCTGTCTGATGCGCAACATAATGATATTTAAAGGTAGAGGAAATAGGGCAGGGTGCAGTGGCTCCTGCCTGTAATCCCAACACTTTGGGAGGCCAAGGCAGGAGGATTGCTTGAGAGCAGGAGTTTGAGACCAGCATGGGCAACAAAGCAAGACCCCATCTCTAAAAAATTAGCCCATCATGGGGCCTTGTGTGGTGGCTCACACCTGTAATCCCAGCACTTTGGGAGGCTGAGGCGGGTGGATCACTAGGTCAGGAGATCAAGACCATCCTGGCCAACACAGTGAAATCCCGTCTATACTAAAAATACAAAAAAACTAGCCGGGTGTGGTGTTGGGCACCTGTAGTCCCAGCTACTCAGGAGGCTGAGGCAGGAGAATGGCGTGAAACCAGGAGGCGGAGCTTGCAGTGAGCCGAGATTGCGCCACTGCACTCCAGCCTGGGTGACAGAGCGAGACTCTGTCTCAGAAAAAAAAAAAAAAAAATTAGCCCGTCATGGTGGTGTATGCCTGTAGTGACACCTACTCAGGAGGGTGAGGCAGGAAGATGACTTGAACTCAGGAGTTAGACGTTACAGTGAGCTATGACTTGCTACTACACTCCAGCCTGGCCAACACCAAGACCCTCCCTCTTTAAAAAGAAAAAATAAATAAAATTAAATGCAAGTAAGATTTCCTTATTTCATTAGAAGTGGTAAAAGACACTAGCAGACTTAATAAGTCACACATGTATATTGTAATGCCAGAGCCACTAAGGAAACTACAGAGACACACTAAAAGACAGTATGAATAGAAATGATATCAGTGAAATTGGCAAATAATTTATTTTGTTTTTTTTTTAAGACAGGGTCTCGCTCTGTCACCTAGGTTGGAGTTCAGTGGCTTGATCTCAGCTCACTGCAACCTCCGCTTTCCGGATTCAAGCAATTCTCCTGCCTCAGTCTCCCAAGTAACTGGGATTTC